GCTTCCCATCGCTGGGTGGGAGGTTGACTTCCAAACAAGGAAAGAATCAACCTTAAATGACTTCCAACGGTCATGCCTTCCCATTGATGGGTATGCCCTTCCATCGCTGGGTTCCCATCGATGGGTAAAGGTTCCCATCGCTGGGTAAGGGCATTCTGCCTTGTGATAATGTTGGACCAAGACTTGAACAGCGATGGGTAGAACTTCCCATCGCTGTTTGGCATGGTTCTGGAAATCAGTTGGGCTGAAGGCTGCTTACCCATCGCTGGGTAATATCTCCCATCACTGGGTGGCATGATTCTGGAATCCCGAGATCACTTACCCATGGATGGGTGATATCTACCATCGCGGGGTAGATGGCTAGCCTAGAACCATGGCCTAGCCGACCAGCGCTGAAACCCGACCGAAAAATGCAAAGTTCTCCAAAGTAAAAACTAAGTATATAAAACACTTAGTTAATGTATTGTGATGTCAAAAAAAGCTTTGTAATTTGAAAACCACGTCGTTAAGGTAAAAACCACGGTTGACCAAGTCAATGCCGTACACGGGTGGTTTTTACCAAAAGACAAAACCGAAAGGTGGTTTTCATGATATTTTGATTGGAGAACCATTTAAATGCATTCAAAAACAATTTCCACACAAAAAGACTCGAAAATCACTTCATTTAAGTAAAAACCACGGCTAGCCAAGTTTATGCCGTTTCGCATGGTTTTTATCAAATGACAAAAAACGAAAGGTGGTTTTTGAAGTGTTTTTGATGGAAAACTATTTAAATGTGCCCAGAAGTAAAAAACAATCATAAAAAGTTGAAAACCACTTGGTTGGTTCGGATGCCAAAAACCAACGCCGATAACCGAATGCCGAATGCCGGTTTCCGAAAGCTGAACCCCGGATGGCTTGGGTTTTTGTTTGGGCGAACACCAAGTGTTTTTAATATGTTTAAGCATGTTTGAAAATAATTTTGATGATATGTAAAATGCAATAAAAAAAGTTTTAGCCTAAAGAGCCAAAGTGCAAAGCTTGGGTCGGTCTTGATCACATTGTGACCGACTCAACGACGCTAAAGACTACGGTCTTCGTTCTTAGTCTCTTTTAGCTCTGGTTCTCTTGCTTTCTTCTTATATCTATTTCTCGCCTTGTATATTCAACAACTTGTCTCGTTCACGGCGGTTTGGCATTATCAAAACCTGTCATAAAAACGAACACGGCTTTAGTACGAAAACACGATAAACCCGTGTTTCAACAATTTCCCCCTTTTTGATAGTGGCAAACAAGACAGGGTTATGCATAGGAGGACTGATTTGAGACTTAAAAGATGTTCCCCCTTAATAAATGCAATTTTCTTTTCAACAAAGTTTATGAGTTGAATAAGAGTTAGTTTAGAAAAAGTTCCCCCTCAATCTATGCATAACCTTTATATCTTCCCCCTTTTGACATTAACAAAAAGAATTAAAAGTAAACTTTTGTTTATTAAAAGGGAAATGCGGAATACAACGGATAAAAATACAATCATATTTAATAAGGAGAAAATAAAGAAGAGGTCGTGGCGTCGGTGTTGGCCTTCTTCTTTGAAGCCTCTGTTTTGGTCCTCGACTTTCCGCTGGCCATTGTTGAAGCGTTTAGAAAGTGAGTAGAGGCTTAAATTATGTAAAAGAAATGTAAATTGTGTGTTAAAAATGACCAAGGATGGTTAATATTTATAGGAAAAGAGAATTTAGGCCCTTGGTGTTCAAAAATATGGCTGTTGGGCATTGAATGAGGTGCCCAACGGCTATGATTTTTGAACTGCAACAAGCTTCCTAGTGATGGTAAGGTTCTCCCATCGATGGGAAGACAACTACTGGAAAGGGAGAAAAAAAGTGAAGGCAGCCTTCCCAGCGATGGTAAGGTTCTCCCATCCATGGGAAGACAGCTACTGGAAATCCGTTAAAAATTTTTAAAAAAGTGTCAAACACCCAGCAATGGGAAGAAGTTCCCATCGATGGGAAGAGGGCTGCTGGTTAGAAAATACTTCCTTCCCAGCGATGGGATAAACCACCCACCGCTGGTCCCCCCTGAGTTCCTCACTTTGATACGTACCTGCAAAAAAAACAACACTTTGGTACCCAAAGTATATCTATGGGTCCTTGGGGGTTAGTTAACCTTTATTGCCCACACACACACCCAAAATTCATTTCCTTACACGCGCACACACACACACACGATTAGATGATCGTTTAAGAATTACCTTGGCCAACCCATGATCTCGTGGTTGGCGGGTTCCAGTCTACCTGAACGGAGTGCTGATATCTCGGTGTGATTTGTGTTGGTTCCAGTAACGGAATGTGGACTTTCTTCTTTTCGTCAAAGTAGAAGACATAGTAAGGTTTCTTTTGTGCATTATCCTGTGGAGATTTCTTTTCATTAGCACCAAATATGTTGTGTGTTTCATTATAGGTGAAGTGCCTATGTCTGGTAAAACACACGGGAGCTATATGTCCTACCCTATTGCAATAATGGCATACTACGTTTGGGTTGAACATATGCCTAGGTTGATAATATCTAGGGGGCCTAACCACGTTTGTCCTATTTTGAGAAAGGGATGGTTTATGCATGTTTTCAAAAGGATCAATTCTAGGTGTTCTAACATTGTTTTGTCTATTTGAAAAATTATTTTTATGCATGAAATCATTTTGATAATTTCTCCTAGGTTGCCTAACATGCTCGTGTTCCTTTTGTCTAGGTTGTCTATTATTTTTGTTTTTATCTTTCTTAGGTTGAGCTCTAGGTTGTTTACTTTTGTGCTCAACTTTTTCTTTATTTTCAGGTTCATCAATCTTTCCAAAACCTATTCCTTCTTTAGTGTATTGCATAGAATCAAAAACAAGATTAAGATCCTTATGTGGTTTATTAAAATTCTTCACCGTGTTTTCTAGTTTAGCAACTTGTTCTTTCAAAGCTATGCAAGAGTCACAATTTCTCGTAGAGCTCTCGGGTTTGTCGGCGCTTCTTTTACCATAAAATTTATTTTCTTCTTTTAGTTGTTCGTTCTCCTTTTGAATTTTTTCAAGTTCGGTTTTGTTAGAATAATAGACCAACGCTAGAGGGGGGTGAATAGCGTTTGATCGGAGAAATCGCAGGAATTAAAAAATTAAGAGAGAAGTAAAGAGAAGAGTAAAAGGCACACCGTATTTTACCCTGGTTCACCACAACTTGTGGCTAATCCAGCCTCCCGAGAGACTCTCTCGAGCTACACTACTAACTCGTTAAGCTTACGGGTGCTTAACAAACCGTTACAACTTGAGAGTTCGAGTCACACGAACCTCAACGAATCCTTCAAAGGAAACAGACCTTCCTTTGAATCAACCGAGAGAGATACTATCTCTCAACGTGTCTAAGAACACCAGTACACTCAAGAACGAGACTCTCTTATAGAGTAGATTATGAGTAAACT